TGTAGTAATTTATCGCTGGCGTTGTTGGTGTTGTTTGTGGTGTATGCAAACTACTGCCATTGCTATTCGTGCTAACATCCTTGCTTCCAGGCCCAAACGGTATAACAAATACGCTAGTTCTAGCATCATGTTGCATTTTGATTACTGTCTCGTAGCTGGGTGGTGCGAACTCGCTGTACGATGGCGATGGTGTGGGTGGGGCAATTTGTGTTTCATTGTCCAAAACATTGCGTCGATTCTCCGTACAGCGTCTATCTGAGCAAGCCATGAGCAGAAAGAAGGCGGCCAGTGCCAGAAATGTGGCCACATACCAAACGATCGTTATAATATCCATGGCAGTCTGCGATAATTCGTTGGATTGTTCGCGTACTGCTGTAAGAAAGAGTGTGAAGAAAGGCAGGCGGATTAGTAAGGAAAAAATAATTGGTAGGTATTTATGTACAGCTGAGGCAAAATAAATGAATGATGGTAGGAGAAACTAATGAGGAACATTTATTGTACTGTGATTAGTGAGTCTTGCTTAACCTTGCCTAAGGTTATACTTTAGTCTTTTTTCTATGTAGATCCTACATCTGTCCCTGTTCGTCCTAATTACATTTATGTTACTCTGTTTTCCTTTATCTTTATACTCTATCGATAAAAAAATCGATAGTAACATCGAACAAAATGTCGATAACAAAACCGATAGAAAGATCGATATCAAATTCGATAAAAATTTCGACAGCAAAATCGATTACAATATTGATAGCAAAATCAATTAAAAAGTCTATAAAAATATCGATAACAAATTCTATAAAAATATCGATAACAAAATCTATAAAAATATAGACAACAAAATCGATAAACAATCGATAAGAAAACCTATATACAATCGATAACAAAATCGATTAGAGAATCGGTAAAAATAACGATAAAAATCAGTAAAAAATCGATAACAAAATCGATAAATTATCGATAAAAATATCGATATTAAATTCGATAACAAAATCGATAACAACATCGATAACAAAACCAATTTACTATATCGATAAAAAGTATTTACTTTCATCCTTGTATTTGTCTTTCTCTAAGTGTTATTCCTCAACCTTTTATTTTATTTATTTTTTAACTTATACGATGTGCATACACTCAAGAAGCACTTGTTTCAATTCGAACCATTTCCGTTGCACCATTTCCGTGTGTAATTTCCGTTGAATTTGCCAATTTACTCCCAACCAACCAACCGCCGCTAAAGAAGTTTCACTTCAAAAAACTCACGCACACTCATGTAAATTGCGTTCTAGACGAGTTTGTTTCTTTACCTATGCATATTTCATTGTTATCAATTCAAATCGACTTTACATACAAACATACTTATATGCAATTTCCCCACAAATGGCTTTTCTTATACGTATGTATGCAACAAACAATGAAAGTGAAAATGTCAAAACCTTTTATAATGCAATTGAGAGGTCAGTTACTTTGTTATATTTATGGCTAGCTCTGTAAGAATTATGGGTGCGCTATAAATATTTCGTCACTGTAAAACGATAAATAACCGCGATAACATAATCATAGTATCTTTAATGTGATTAACACATAAGAGCCTCTTTTGAGTGCTTAGCCGCGGCAGCTGAATGGCTTGAAGTGCGTTCTACTAGATGGGCAGCCCCGGTTCTATGTCTGTTCTAGTGCAGAAAACTAATTCAATTAAACACAATTAAACAAACTCAATGGCCTCGTTAGTTCTGAATGAAAGTAAAGAAGATCATTATTTGATATCCATTATTTTTTTTTAGTATAGTATTTCACGTGTAAATGCGAGTTAAAAATTTTATAAAAATTAAAAAAAAAAACAATGTCAACAAAGAGGCCTACAAGACCTACAGTGAATAAGTTAGTAACATTTCTAAAAGAAGTTTGGATATGCATTTTGTAGCCCATATAATTTTAGTGTAAAGTGCAAGTTTCTAGTGGCTGTAAAATAGGTTGATTTTTGACAATTCTTTTTTTCTTTGTTGACGGGGCTGCGCATTTTCTTCAATACAAAGTATGTATGTATGCTCGAAAAAATTGCAAAAAATCAAGACTAGTTTACAGCCACTTGAATCTTTCACTTTATTGATGGCTACGAAATTGCATATCCGAAATTAGTCTAAAAAATATTAAAAAAGGACTTTGTTATTGTAAAAGTAAATTTTTGTTCCTTTGTATTTTGTAAGAGCGATTATTCTTACGACTGGTAGTCTTGAGGCTCCACAAAAGAGGAAGCAGTGGAGTTTATCGAACACTATTCCTGCATAATGCCTACTTTGACCAAAACAAGAAACTTTTTCTTCAATAAGTACCGTATATACTTTTTTTTATATCACTCGGGTCAGACCTAGCACCTCAATAAGTACCGTATATACTTTTTTTTATATCACTCGGGTCAGACCTAGCACCGGCATCTAGCCGTAAGGTAGGGCGCAGCTCCAACCCTTTGGCTACAGTGGCTGCAACAATATCAAAACGTCACAGATTTAATTAGAAGCTCATCTATACATTTAAATTGTTGGTAAATCTGGGACCATCATCATAAAATATATTTAAGACTTCTAAGAGTATTTCAATATAGATACGTATGTATGTAAAACTCAACGCAAAACTTTCGAAAGCATTGCAATGTTTATATTATTTCTCTATTCCTTTACTAATCGATGAAATCACGAAAGTCTGATAAAAAAAAAGTGGGAAATATATCGATCACGCATTTATTTATAGAATTTACTAATAAAACGAATGCACACTTATCAAAAATTGTATTTACTCAGGCGAAGTTAAAATATTAATTGCTCGAACTTGCGCGATCAGTCGCATAAGCGATGGGAGTGTAATGCGAAAAAATGCAACAAACAACTGACAATCTATGCGTAAACAATCTACGAGTATTTTACGTGTTTAGCACTTTATTATGAAGTTTTTCGCGAGACATGTATGTACGCATGTACATATGTATGAGCTGTTCAGTGCACAAATTGATTAATTAAAACAACAAAAAGTTTATTTTAAAATTCCATTTATATTGTAAAATCAAATAAATAATGATGTTATAGATATTATGTATTATTGTATGTTGTGCCAAGTGCTTTAACACTTAAATTTAAAATTTTTCAGAAAATGGAGTTAAATATGTATCTACTTACTGCTCTTAATAACAATTATCGTTGTGTTGTTCTCATCAAACTCGTCACGTGACTCCAGATGTACGTTTGATACCGGATCCGTATAATTTAGTTGAGCACCCAATGGTGCAGTCAAAAAAGCTTCACGTGAATTGCCTTCCGCAAAGAAGTTGCGTTGATTTTGACCCAAACTGAGTAAAAACGATTGACCGAACGTTCCTTGTACTAGTACAGTTAAAACTGAAATGAAATTACAAATCGGAAATCAATATTAAAAACTCAAGAAAACTTGATAACGAAAAATATGATTAAAAAAAATGTACTTTTGTACGTGAAAGTGACGTGTGAAGTGTGATATGAATGTTGAGGTGAAATTTAAAAAACAAAAAAAAAACGGAAATCATTATCAGTACGGTGACCATCCGTCCTGTATTGTATGGGACAGTCCTCTTTTTTGTCGGTTTTCCTGGTAAGTTATTTGTGTTAAAGGGGACACAAAATTTTCTGCATTTCTTTAAATGTTCCATTTTTGTCCCACAATCGGTGTAGCGGTGTAACTGGCCGTAAAACTTTTAAGAATAAAGAGAACCAAATCGCTGAGGGAATTTCGTCGCACGAAGCGATGCCGTCGGGTGATAGTCGCGGCAAAATTTCACCCAATAAAACAGAACCGAAACGAAACTCGCACCAGAGGAAAGACAAATAAAAAATATAAAAATACAAAAGTGAATAAATGAATCTCTAGAAAAATTAAAAAAAAAAACTATTTTAAATGTCCCATATTCGGTGCAAAAAAATCTTGTCAATCAAACCAAATTTAAACGAGCTATGTACTTACATAGGCGACCGCTGTGGTGCAGTGGTTAGCAGAGCGCACTAC